CAAGATGCATAAAGATGGTGTTCCCACATAGAAATGCAATGCTGCTGATGCTAGAGTAGTCTCCGATAATAGGCAACACTAGATAAGTTGATTGTTTTCATGGTATTATCCAGGGGACCGCAGATGTAGTCATTGCAAGCGTTTAGTGAAGCAAACTAACGAATTCGGGAGGAACACTCAACAATTGAAGCGAAGGAAAAGAAGAGAGGGGAAAATTACCATGGGGGCTCGTACAAAACCGAAAGGCTCAGAACTCAGAAATGTCAAATCGAAATGTCCACGACGGGCGTTAAACTCTTAGTAATGGGATTGGAATCAGATGCACACAAGCTGCTTTGTGTTGCCGTTTATTCAAAAGGTGTGAAAGAACAATTCAGAGAGAGATAGAGAGAGAGCTAATTGCTCATTCAAACTACCGGGAAACGATCTTCATCTATTGGAGCACACGAAGCACCGAATCCACTTGAAAGTCTCCGATGCCTCGAATAATTGCCTGGTAGCTCCAGACGAGAATGAACGAACACCTCGGCAAATGACCTCGGTCGATCGGGTAAGAAACTTAAGTGGCGACAAGATGAATCAATAACGAATTAACTATGTATGTGTGGACATGGAACCATCGAAAGCAAAAAGACCCCGCCACAACCCATGCGCGGAGGCGATGTTTGTTCAACGGGGCTTGTCCACACTAGGACCGTTACGGGCTTCGAAGCCTAATGTTACAGTTCAACCAACCTAAGCCTGTTGGCTCTGCTACAAAGGCCGACACCGGGCTTCAATCAACCGGACCTGCCTATGCGGTAGCAACCGGTGTCCGAAGCTGGGTGATTGTACTCCGGATGGGGCAAAGGAAGCATCACGTGATCTCAAAGATCATTGATTTGGTCAATCACTAGGTGCGTTCACAAGGGCGTATCGTTAAGCGCAGTAGTCGATGTCAGAATGAACTGCTGTGAATTCTAGCCCGACTCTAAGCCAACCCGTGCGTGTGTGTCGCTCTGTCACGGTCGCCCCGTCCGGCAATGACAGACTGTGTCAAACACACCCACCGTCCCCACAACGTCCCACGACCAAATGTGTTGTAGTCATCGCGCACGGGTACACGGGCGTGCACGGGTCCAAGAGAGTCTGTGTACAAGCGTTTGTGCAGCGCTATAGAGCTGGGTTCAAGCCAACTATAGAAATCAACGCGAATGAGCTGAAAATGTCAAGTCCAGGATGCGTCGGCACTAGTCAAACTGCAATTAGGTTGAAAGAACATAATAAGGACAGAAGGGATAGAGGGCCATTTCATTCAGAAAAGTGTTATACATGTGATATGATGGGATGAATCGTAAGCATGAGCAAGAAAGGCGAGCTGACCTCATCAACTATCACCCTCATTTGTCCATAAACACAAGTGACACTTCGGAACCATCAGTATCTCCGGACCAGAAAGTTGTACGTTATCATATATCACAACTGTAAATCGTACATCCAGTTATTGTGTAACTGCTGTCCCAGATATGCTCGAGCAAACAGCGCGTGATTTCATTACTGTCGTGTAGTGAGCAGTTTCGCAAGCTTGGCAGTAAAGCAAACATCAAAATACCTGATTATTGTGTGTGTCAATCATCACAAAGAATGGTGATAAGCATAAGGGAAGTGTTGCAATTGTACGAAATCGGTTTCCCCAAGAACATCCTGTCCAAAACATTCGAAATAAATTGAAATCACTCGTGAATCAAAAGTCAGAATGTTGTTATCATCTCAATGGGACCAAATTTACAAGATTTATCACACTAGAAACCATGTCCCGTGGACAAGCTATCAACGATCAGAGA